CCCTTCCCTCTGGTCCTGGTTGTGTGTGTCCATTAAAATTTGACTGAAGGCCACCAAATAACCTAGGTTCTTCCACATTATTTAGTTGTGACAACTACATTTTTCTAACAGAGATAAATAGACATTTCAAAATTTGGGAAGAAAAATATGTATCATATTTATACATGTTAAAAGAGATTTTTCTCAACCAGTTGATACTGAAATGAAAAGATGTGTTTCCTATTTAACATAAGTTTTCCTTTTGCTTTGTGCTTTTGATGTGACAGGGTAATATGAATCTTGCACAATATTTTCCAGATTGCATGTTATTTTAATTTTTATCATTCTAAAGAGCTCATATTGAAAATATAAACTTGGCATTTAAGACAGCATAATACATAGAAGTTTTAAAATATAAAATTACATTTTCATATTTTTTACTTACTGTCAATAGTGAGAAAGTCAGGATTATTAATGCCCATTGCATTAAATAGCAAAAGATTGAGGAATGATTAATGTTACATAAAATGACTATAATTTAGAAAGATGATATTTATTTTTGTACTTATTTAGTTCTCCTTGGATATGAACAACGATTTTTAGAAGCTTATTATAAACATGCATACAATATAAACAAGACTGTAAGAGTGATAATGAAGATGAGGATGATTAAAAATTGATTGAACCCTATGTACAAAGAATGCTTTTAGGCACTTTCAGGAAATCATAATAGGTAATTGAGTAGTTGTTAAGATGGAGGAGTTATTGATCATCAGAATATATTTTGGCACTATCTTTTGTATAATTTAAGAATATGTGTCAAACTGTTTAATGATCTTACTCTCTGATTTAGCAATTAAACATCCAAGGTATTTTCCTACAGAAATACTTACTCATGTGCACAAAGATATCTAAGCAAAGATATCTATCCTAGCATTTTTTGTTGTTGTTCAAAATATTACAGATGCCCCTTTCCTCCCCATTGACCCCCTCCACCCCTCCACACCCCCTCCCCAGTCCCTCACCACACCATTGCCTGTGTCCCTGGGTTATGCATATATGCATGTAAATTCTTTGGTTAATCTTTCCCCCTCCCCCCACGCCCCCCCTCCAGCATTTTTATAATAGCCAAAAATAGAAACAATGTAAATGTCTAACAGTGAGGGATTAGTCTAATTATGCACATACTGTGGATTAAAATTAGTCATGTAGGTAAGTCAATATTTATTTGTGTAGAAGGTCTCCATTATATGGTTTTAGGGGAGAAACAGCAAGCTAAACAATATGTAAAGTTTATTTTCCTAAAATAGATTTTATGTGTATATGCATAGATCAAAGTTAGAAAGGTTTTCCTTTAAAATGTTTATCTCTTCATGATAAGCTTATTAATGATTTTCATTTTCTTATTTATTTCCTTAAACATTAAAAATATTTCTTTACAATAAATATCTAATACAAGTAAAACAACAAAAAAGTTATGTTTACTTGGGACAACATGGTTATTAAAATCAGAATAATGTCAAAATGAATATAAGAATAAAAGTGAAGACAAAAGTGAGGTCAGTTTAAAAAAATGCATCTACTAGAGTCCCTTAATACTAATTTACCAAGTTTCTCCATTCATTCATTTTTTTCATTCATTTATGCAACTTTATTAAGCATCTGCTGATATCCAGGTATAACTTAGTTGTTAGACATACAGAGACATTCATTTATTCAAACTGTATTATTTCCACAATTTATGATACATTCACAGATGTGTACTATAATTACCCTATAGTTACCCTATAGTACTTCACAGTGAGAAGGACTTGAAAATGTATATCTAGGAAATTATGGGACCATACAGGTAGGGCATCCATCTAATCTGAAGCGCAGAGTTCGGGAAAACCTAGTTGGAGATGCTGCCTGGGCTGAACTACAAAAGAAAATAAGAGCCAACTGGACAAAGAATGGGAGAAAGGAGCTCTAATTTAGATATAAAATACATAAAAATATAAATTATATAAAATATAAATACATAAATTTATATTTATTATATAAATATATTTTCTATGAACATATAGCTTTATATAGAATATGTTATATATTCATAAATATTTTTATTTTTTATGTTTAAGACATCCTGATATGAATGAAAAAAGCAAATTTTTTATTGAGTGTTCCATGCATTTAACCCTTAAACCTTATAAGTGACCAACAGTCCAGTAAATGCTGAGAGTAAAGTGAATTCTTTTTCAGCTTCTGATAGGTTTGTGGCCACGCATAGTCACGGAATGAGTTAGGAAGTACAGTAAGCTTACATAGAAAAATGATATAGTGATATCAAATTTTGAACAAAGTTAACTGCATGAGCTGACTTTCAGAGTTTATGTAAAATGTTCTTAAAACTATAATCACTATAAACTTACGTACTGCCAGAGGAAAAGATGGATGTAATAGGAACTCCAAAATCATATACATTTGTAGATAAAGAATAATGCTAATTTCACTATAGCAAGAGAATACAATCATTAATTACTTAGGAATATTTAGCATACATATATATGTGCTGCATATTTTACAATAAAACCTGAAGATACATCTCTCAGATGAGCAGTGTTTGCGGGGAGTTAAAGAGGAAATACGCTGGTCTGGATAAGATTTATGAGGTAAATTAATTTTTAAAAATCTATAGATCCAGGCATAATGGAAACTTGCAAGTATGCATTCATTCACTTGATCAACATATATTTGTTATACACCTACAATGAGCTAGTTTCCTTAACCCCTTTCTAGCCTATATAACAACATTAATGAGAGAGGAAAGAAAGAACAAATGAAGACAGGATTTATATCATGATATATTACTGAAGGTGACTAGTAAAGTTACACATTATTTGCTGCTTATATGTTCAGAAAGTCTGTCTCTCCCATTAGGCTGTAAGCTTTAGGAAGGCAGGTCTTCATCTTACTTTTTTCCCCCAAGGATGGAAGACAGTGCCTGGCACATAACACTTAGAAAAACGCTATTAAATTAAGTAATTATATTAGTCTGTTACCAGGGAGAGGATGAGGAGACCTCAGTTCTTGTCTTCTTGAGGGAAAGATTTCAATTAAGAGACAAAGTGTAGGAAAGCAAGCAAGAATTTATTTGCAGCATCAAAAATATACTTAGGGCAGCGAAACAAGGAAGGGCCTAGAGGAAGCAACAGGAGAGCCTAGGCTGGGCTGCTTTGGCTCACTGGGGAGTCAGGGAGAGAAGGGGGTAGGTTCCGAGACCTTGGAGACAGGTTCAGGGGGTAAGCCCAGGACGAGCTGCCACTGGCCATTGCTCCCCTGGTTGCATGTCTCATGGGGGCCCCTTGGAAGAGAGAAGGGGGAAGGAGATGGTGCTGGTGTGCTGGGGTTGGTGGGGGGAAGGGGGGGAGACAATTGGGTCCTTTGTCCTGCGTGTATTTCTTTCTTTCTTGCCAGTGGGAAATCTCAGGGGAGGTTTCAAGGGAGTGTCTTAAAAAGAATACTCATCAGCTTTATGCTGATATTCCAAAACGAGGTTTATTCTCTTAACTTCATTTGTCCTTGGGTGTGGTTGGCAAATGCTACTAATTGGATTTCTGTTATCTGTCTCCCTGAGTCCAGTGATTTAAGCTATCTACCCTCTGGCTGGGGAGGAGAAATGCAAACCATTTACCCTTAAGGGTCCTTGGTTTAGGGAAGACAGGATTTACTAGGGGGCCACAAAACTGCTGTTTAACTATCTTAGTTTCCCTATTCCATTTGTCCTGGAATTTTCCTAGTTTCATACTATAGTATAACAAGCCTTAAGAAATGGAAGGTGAGTTCCAAAAAGTGAAATTACGTATCTAGTATCTAAAAGTATAAAATTAAGAAATGTCAGAGTTCAATTAGAAATCAGGGTTTCAACGAGCTGTCCTTTTTCATCGGATGAGATCTGTTTTGGTCCACCAACCAAGTGAAAGCATGCCTCCTCAATGTAAAGTGAATTATCTCCATGCCTACCTATAGGCCAAATGGTGTTCTGATTATTTGAATGATACTAACACAATGACTTCAGGTTTCTATGAAGGTAAAGGGTATCTTCAGAAAGGAAGCCAAGTTAACATTTGGCAGTTGATTTACCAAAGTACTGAGATTCTAAGTTTTCTTTCCTCTTTCTTTAAAGTATCTTTATTGTTTTTAGGATTTTTACAACTCCTCCTCAAATAAGAATCAATTATTCACAGTGTTACACAGTCTACAAAGTACAGTTATAATACAAAGTGCAAATATTGGACCCTGTTGCAGCTCCCAGCAGCCATCCTCCAGAATTCTGGCTTCAGTCTCCAAACTTGCTGTGCACTTTGCAGTATCCCTTGGTATATGCCCTTTCCCAAGTTCAAATGCATTCCAGCCTCCACCCAAAACCTCTGCAGCCATGTTCAGACTTCTCTAGGAAGCGCTTCCCAGGTGAATAAACTTTAGTTTATCCTATCGTATCCAGATCCACGCATGCACGCACGCATGCATTCTTTCAAAAAGAATTTTACAAAGAATATAATTTTCAGATCCTAATGATTCACTTTGGAAACGGATCTTCCCCCATTAGCCCGGGGGCGTCGGCAATGCCGTTAGTATAACTTAATCTCTATAGACATTTTAAATCCAGAGTCCGTGAATAACGTCTCGCCCCCCAGCAGTCGGGCAACGCCCCTTTCTCACTACTCTCCGACTCTCCCTCACTCCCCAGGGTCCCAGCCAATCCCC